TTGATATGACTTCAGGTTGTACATTAGATACGTTATGTTGCTTATTTATATTTCGATTGAAACTTTTTTGTATAAACCTTTAAAATTGTTGATCAATATGGACGAACACACTCCCAAAAATCAACTAATCATCTAAGAAATTATACTGACTTATCCAAAATTACCTGTAGAGTATTTTAACTCTGCCAGGTCAGTATCATTGTGATTTGAGCCCAAAAAGGCCAATAGATACTAGAACGATCAAATGTTTGCAACCTGCCCATATCGATTTTACTTTCACCATAATCAATATTGAGCAGTACCAACCAATAATTTATCGATCCTGAAATGGATAAGTCAGCACTGTCGAAGCGATTTTAAAAGATAGGCGTTTTAACAATTGGCAAATAAATCAAACGAGCTCGGTGCTCACTTTATTCATTACCTTATTCATATGAGCTGTTAGAGTGCCTTATTATAATGATTTATAAATATCCTATAGAGACATAGCTACGGCATATGTTAATACAAGGATAATATGTTTTAGCCGCTTTGTTCGTTTGCTATATAGGTGATTAATGGTGTCGAGGTATTTGTATAGCGATTGGCTATGCGAAAGCGACGAATAAATGAGCGAAGAGGCATTTTGATCCTAAACATTTTTGTTAATAGCAGGAAATAACTGTTCCAAACCAGTAATTTTTCGCAATTTGTCCAATCCACTTCACAGCTGCAACATATCGTAGCAGATATTAAATATGCTGAGTAAATATTTGAAAAAAACTCAAAATAGATCAATCATTAATGTCGGAATACGCAACATCAAAACCAATATTTAAAATGTTTTGACCAATGCTTTGATTTGGGCTAATCCGGTAACAGAATGGAATAATAAACGATTTTTAAGAAAATAATTAATAACTAACGTAACTGTTGTAATGCCTAAGACATTTCAGTTGCTCAGACTTTGGTAGCTAGAAACCCATTCTATATTTCCATAAAAAAATGATTTGGTATTTATTGTGTTTGGGTACTTTGTCCGAATAAATCAAGGATATTGAATATAAATAAAAAGTTTGTAGGAGGAAAACGCCGACCTTACACGAACGCTCATATGGACTCGTAAAAGCGGGCAATTTAGTAAACAATCCAGCCATAAAGCTGTATAAAAACTGTCAGAAGTTAATTAATTTTTGAGTTACGATAACCACTGTTTGTGTACAAGAACCACTCTGGACACCCACCCAGTACTAGATGATATATTTTTGGAATTTTCGTGCACTTGAATGGGATCTTATTTATGGAGCAGAAGTGTATGGATTTTTAAGCACTCAAACATTCCCAGGACAAGATTAATAACTCCATTATTTTCGGGATAGTTCGTTTCACAGGTTAGGGATTTAAAAGGTTACAACGAAAATATCAACATGGTCCAAAACACGCGCACGTTCGGCACCACTTTATAATCATCATCATCAATCATTCTGGACAAGCTGTTTAAAATGTAATGGAGCAGACGTCTACCCATATTGGTGATGATTTCTTTACACCTCTCTGACTAATTTTCTCAATTTGTCTCTGTAGTCTCTTTTTTTACCTGGAATTCAAATGAGGTCGACTACCGAAAAGAACACGTTTTCAAACGAAAGTGATTTGTAGCAAATTTTTTTCGTCGCTTTGAAAATAAACGGATATTAATGATGTTTGTAAAATGTTCTACAAAAGGTGCTCTAACTCGAACTGGTTATGGTTTATGCAGACGGCGCATAGAAGAATATAAATTGAAAAGAGAATAGAACATACTTGCTGAAAACCTTCAAAACCAGCACACGTTTTTATCATTATATTGTACCTGTAGTGCAAAATGCTGAAAATTTCATTTGGTTGATTCATAGTATAATATAATTAACAAGATTGAACCACATTTTACATCCAAGATGATTGATGCTCAATTATTACTCAAAAAAAACATTCAAAATGTTTACAAATGAATTTCAGCATCAATACATCTTGGTTCATAGCTGCCAGTTTATCACGCATCAAAATATGCTAATTTACGGTCAAATGCATATATTTTAAGCTCTAATCGTAATTATTTGAAACTAAAAAATTAACAGCTCGTAAAAGCGCAGTTCCCGTTACCACTCCACAAAAAGATGCATTATTTTTACTGCTGCAACACCATCAAACTTCCAAAAGCTTTTAAAAACATTTAATTTCATTTGGCTGAACATATTGAAGTCGACAATAATAGCGGTTTCCGATTACTAGTTTGTCTAAGTTCTCTATTTCAACTCGTGTCGGACATGTATGTATAAGTACTCGTACTATATTATATTGAATTTTTCATACAAAGTGTACCTACTACTTACATAAAAATAATAGTATGTGTTTTCAGTATTCAGTTATGGATAATAAAAATATGCAATTAAAACCTAAAATGAATCTGTATATCTCATTATTACTTTCTATAAAATATTGGAAATTGTAATTATTATTAATTAAATATTAATTTGATATTGTTCTTCTAAAACTTCACTGCCATTCCATGAGCGAATATTGTAGCATCTTTAGAGTACGCAATACTCAAATCTGTGATTTATTAATATATGACAGGATGTAGAATTTTATTGTTTATTTTAAAGCAGCTTTTAAAAAAATAAGGCAATTTACAGGACTTGAATAGAGAAGATCTTCCAGAAGTCCAAAGACAATCTATTAATTGTCCTAAGACTATTTTATGATTTACTTAGAGACGATCTAATGACTGACTGCTCGTTTCGGCTGTGGCTTCTTTTACACTTAAGTTATGCTGATACCTGCAGAAACCATACAACGTCTTTTATTAATTAGTACAAATAAGATGATTAAAGTATAAATTACTAGAAACACCAGGAATGCTTTCGTAAATAAAATATAACTAACTTAACTAATAGACTAACATCGATTTTCTTCTAACTAATTTTTGCACAGCTTCACTTGCATGGCTAGAATCATAACTATGCTTTATTACTTGCTTATTTTCTTTTCTGTCCTTATCTTCGTTCAACAACCGCACCATTCAGAAGTTTTTAAACCTTTTGCAAATAATTGCTGCTTCATCATTAAACCTCCTCAACCAATTAAAACCCTGTACCATCCCATTCACATTCATTACACGTACCTGAACCTTAATACCCCAGCTCTACCCGATAATTGATAACAACCTACCTTTTAGCTCCAATTTAATCGGTTCGCATATCTCCATTTTCCTATAAAAATTATAATGGAGAAATCCGCATTAGCGAATCGAATTACAAGCAAATAAACCACCTTTCGGCTTAATCTGATTCCACTTAGAAACCATTAACCATAATTCCTATCTTAACTCGTAATTTCAGGCTTTATTTTCAATTTAAGCGACGCACGACGCTAAAAAGTAATACTAATATTCTCATAATGAAGTACCCATCAATGCAAAGCCAATTGAGCGTGCATAACGGCGTAAAACGAAAGGAAAAACCGTGTACCATATCGGATTTGATCAGTGCCCATATGGGATGAGATGCGACTATTGTTTTCCTCCAAGCGTATGGCTACACGATCAGTTTCTTAGCTGGTTTTCACTTAATTTCACTATTTACAAATTTGTTAAATAAACTGTTTAGCAATAAAATGGAAGCATTGTAAATCCCTTAACTAATTATCTGTCGCTTTCCACTTTTTATTGTTTTTCCCTGTGATGAAAGACACATTTCCGCACAAAGGCAAGATGTTAAATCGCTTAATAAACATCCACATATCTTCTTCCTGACCTCCTTTGTTTCCGGCTGAAAGTAGGAAGGCCTAGTCCGGGAACGCTGATGACATCATGGGGAGTTCCAGTAAATAAAAATAAAACTAATGGAGCGCAAAGAAAATATTAGTCATAGTTCCGAATAGAAGACATGTGTGGTTTGTAAAAATACATTGATAAATATTTATGGTTCGTAATTTCGTCGGAGTTTTAAATGTCTGGATCCCTGAAAATCGAACAGTATAACTGCGTCTTTACGAAAATATTAGAAATATTGCTCCCAACCGGGTTATGGCTTTCAGGAAATAATTCAGATACCAGAAATCTGCAAATTTATACACAGGAAAAAATAATCTCGTCGAATTATTTCACGAACGACACATAAACCATAAAAGAACGTTAACAATTCTTCAACGAAGTCTATTAATTTTTTTGAAAAGAATTGGAATGGTCATTTTGTGTTCATTTAAAACGCTCTGTGCATAAAGAGCAGTTATCAGCCCAATTTCCGTTGGGCGGTATGGGATCCAATATGCAACGGGCAAAATATGATACATGAAACTATTTGCAACTAATACGTGCTCAAGGAAATCAGCTATTAGATTTTATTGAATATATATAATATTGATAATATGATATAATAATATTGAATTTTTTTTTTCACTGCATTTGCTCGCATAGTTAAATACAGGGTGATTGTAGAGGAAATGGAAATATTTTAAGGATATGGGACCTATAAGAAGGTTCAAAGTAATTTTAATTAATTATGTGTTGACAAATTATGAAATCCGTTGAAGTAAAGTTGGCAAGGTAAAATTTTAACAAATTCTAAAGTGCCCGTACGCCGTACTCTTGCGTATATCAACTTAGTCTAGTTATACCGTTAGAAACTGATACATCCTGCTCCAAAGCGAATTATCTTTAAGAAAAATAGTAACTCACATCCAGAACACTTGTTGTCTAAACATGTTCTAATACATCTAAGAACATGTGTATAAAGTTTCATGATAATCGGTAGAGTGGTTTTGGCGTAAGATCGTAACAAACAAACTTACATTCACATTTATAATATTAGTAGGGATAGTATGAGCAAAAGGAAAATTGGGCCAAATATAGGTATTATTACTAACCCGATGCAGATTAGCAGTGGAAAGAATAAAATAATTATTCGGTGCTCTTTTTATTTAGCTATTCTGAAGTAAACACATTTTGTGCGTATTTAACAGAGCAACACAAAATTCCCGCAAATATCTCTGGTTGAAGTTGCCGGCGTCTGTTTCCAAGTACCTAATTGACATATCTGAGATTTCCATTAAAGGCGGCGTATAATTGTAGAACAGCATCGAATTAATATGCGGTCATATAAAAGCCAATCTTCATGTTGCGATAGTAATCAAAGACACCGTTAAATCGCTGCAGGCAGTGTCATCTGTATTCCAGAGCAGGTCGGCGCATTAAGTGGCGCCTGCAATGCAATTCTTCCATCCGTGGAATTTATTGGTTTACCATGAAATATTGAATTTACAATTTAGTAAATGTAAACAGAATCATCCGCAAGTAGGGGAGCAATCGGTAAATACTACAAACAATTTTATTTGCAGTTTCAAAGCAATGCAATTTGAAGATAAAATCTTTGCAGTCGGATCTAGTACACCATGACGATTGTAATTAAATAATTTTAGACAAATTAAGTATAAATAATATTTAATGGAGGAATTGACAAGCGTTATAAATCTCCCCTACTTATAAAATTATTGCATAAAGAAATTATAAACCAAAAATGAATGTTTTACTCATGAAAAGTTCAGCTAAATGAAACAATTTTGAAAGTTAATTATTTTTGAGCCATTAGTGCTGCCATTTCCCAGCTTAAAAATATCGAGAACCCGTTTTAAATCCACACACATTAAAAATATACTCAAAGCTGCTAATATAGACATAACAGCAGTGTAACAAATCTGATTTGCTGCTTAATCTTCAGTTTCGTCATGGAACTCATTCCAAACATGTGCAGCTCTTGTAAGCACAATTAAACCGTCATTCTGCTAGTAAATTAATGGTTGACAACGATGAAGTGGATATTTTTCGATAACGCAAAACAGCAATATGAGATGCACGTTATATGTTTGCTCTTGAAGCTGACATTTGCTCTAAGAAACCCAGTTTATTCAGCTCATGATAATGCAATGTAATTGTAACTTATCAAGACATAAAATCTACCAATTAATATGCTGTAAACCAATTAAAGTTACTCTTAACCATGCATTGTTGAGTTTTGCCCGGCAGTTTTTCTAGCAGCTACTGCGGCGTTTCTCATGAGAGACAGTCGAAACTGCATCAGCATAACTAAGTAAGTTGCAGCTGAAGTGGCCGTCTGAAAGCGAAAGTATATATTTTTTAAAAGAGGATTTACAAAATTTTCTTACTACGTATGAATTTTTGTCGGTTTCACATTGACCACCCTTAGTACTTATTCAAACATGAGTAATAAATAAATTTGCTTTGAGGTGCAAGAGAAAATCACTATAAATTGTATATAGTTGAATATCATTAAACATGCTGAAAGAAGAACAATTATAAAATTTCGTAGTATAAARGGTAACTCAAGTAAGTCCTTAAACAAGGAAAATCAATTGTTCAGGCAACATATGTTCTTATGCATGAAAACCTTTATTTTGTTTTTGCAAATATATCACCAATAATTTATATTCTCTTCTGGTTTCCTGAAAGGGAAGGAAAACGCGTGGCAAAGTGCTTTATTTTCTCCTCATTGACTGTTTCCTTTCATCGAAATAGCTTTTTCGCCATTTCAATATGGCTTCTTCCAACGATTCACGAACGCACGAGTCACTATTTATGTATTTTTGTACTGGAGGATACACAATAATTCCTTGATWTTGTTTTAAAGTTCTTGCTTTTCTCRAAAATCTTTTTTTGAAGCCCTGATGGTAGAAACATTTTATTTATTTMTTTTCTCAGWTATCWGACTACAAATWTGTTCTAAATRTTCTTCCGTTCTAACATTCATTGGAACTAAMGTAAAATCGTCTAATTTTCTTCTTTCTATTAGTTTGTATCGAACATCTGGTCGGCATCAATCAAGAACTAACAAGCTATTTTATTATCGCATTTAATTAGCAATGGTATCTCATAAAAACTCCACCGAACAATAAACGGAATTGAATTAGCCATAATTAACCCAAGAAGTACTCCAAAACGACTCCGATTTCCTGTATCTTTGGCTGCTATACATTCCTGCGTTCGCATATTCATAATAATGCTAATTGCTAGAAGTGCAATGATCATTGCATTCAGTTCATGATTACAGTGGTAAGTCAGAAATCGCCATTCAGACATCCTAGGTGGTCGAGCTGCCGCTCTTCGAAGAAGCATGTTGGTAGGAGAACATCTTAATCACTCAAGTTCGTTTCCGGTCACGATCCTGCTGATATTTTGCAGGAGTCAGGAAATAGCAAGATTCTTGGAATTTCCGTCGCTGGGAATCCTAACATATTTTTTGGTCAGATTCGGGTTTAGAAAGTTTTATAGTTTTGCATTGAGAAAATGTGTCATCAAACATAAAGAGTACATGGAAAAAATATTAATGACACAAATCTTTTGTTCGAATACTGAATTTAGTCATGCAAAATGAAATTGAATCAGTTATTAAGATTTCAGGTCAACTTTTTAGAAATTCGTCAGAAGAAAGTTTTTTTGAGTTAGACCATCATCATTGAATCAACGGATCACTAACGCATCACAAGCAAGAGTGGTTAGATTCTTCAGAGATGCTTGCCCCATAATTCGGAAAACGATATTGACAATTTTCTTCTGTTTTCCTTATGTATGGTGTTGACGGTGTAATTGAGTTTGTTAATAGGTGTAAAGTAAATTAATTTATATGTGCAATCTGTACCATATAAATAAATGAAAGAGTAAACATTTTGTAACGATTTTCCTAAACTCTCCTCTCCATTCCGGAAGTTGGCCATCATCATTACTATTTTGATTCTGAAACCTAAATGATCTGCTGACGAGACAGTAAACCATTTTCTCAGATTCCTAAGCCATGATATTCTTCTCGCTCCGATAGATCTTTTTCCCGTCTTGTTGTTATTATTATTATTATTATTATTTTTATATCGAGCACCAAGCACAGTCATTGCTTGAGTAATTTGGCAACAATTTTGGAAATTAACAAAGCCATAAGGTGGAAATGTGGTTTATCGCTTATGATGATTTTTTTCAAAAAAATATAGTCTACTTGCTAGAAACTTTCGTCGTTATGGATGAAATTTGAAGCATGTAAAAAGAATTTTCGTTCGTGTAAGCTGTAGAGAGCTTTTGCAAATTTGTATGTTTTGGTCACAAAAAACCACCGTCTCAACATTTTATATATGAATATTCTGCTAGAGAAATGTAATTATCTACATTCCCTCAAAACTCCCAAAAACTTTGCCATCGTTAGAAACCGTATCGGTTCGTTCAATCTTATAGAGCAATCCATTCTTTGGGTCTTCAACTTTAACATAAAAAGTAAACATATCTGGTCCATAACATTAAATTAAAATGAAAAATGAAGTAACTCTCAGAATTATTAAATTCTTCACTTATAGTGCAAATTTTAAACCGTTTTTACTAATCAACTCAATGCTGTGGGCGAAAACTTCAGTTTAATGGTGGAAAATAGAAAATAGTAGAGAGAGCTATATTCAGTTGACGAACATAGATTTGCACTTTATGCTAATAATAACGAATGGAATGAAAACACTTTTGTCTAGCCCCAACCTATAAAAGTGTTAATCGAAATTCTCTGAAAGAACGTATTTCTCCCATTGCGACATATTGTCATGCAAATCGTGCTGTTATCGAGCTGCAACACTCTGCCTTATTATTCATACTTTTGGCGTACTCATGTTCATTCATTCGATACGGCCTAGTGAGCCAAGAATGTTCATTGATTAACACATTAACAACAATGGGCTGGTTGTTACACGTTTGTCATAAGTTCAATTAATCTTTGAACTAAATTCCGAACAATGCCATTATTGATATCCGTGGATTTTCGATTTTTAACCCTGCTGACCTTCTTCTTTATCTGGTTCTTTAAGACATATATGTCTGCTACAGAAAGTCTCCGTGTCTTCCAATAGCTTTCAATTTCATTGTATTTAATGTGTGGGCGAGTTCTTATGCGCCGATATAACATATTTAACACGATATGGGAGGTTCTTGAATGGAATTATAACCGGCAACATTTTGCTTTAATGCTTTTAAAGGATAATTGCAAACACTTACGGAGGAAATTAGCTTCCTATTTATATTAGCATATCCATTTAGGTTCATTATGGGCGGATTCTTGTCGATTGCCGTTAGAAACATATGGACTTCTTCCACTGTTCGTTGGTCCACTGCCGAGAGATTAACGTTTAATAAACGCTCCCTGCAAACAAGATATCAAGCAAATTAATCAAAAATTATACTTCCGTGCATGTAAACAATTAGATGCAAATCGGGCAATTATCCTTCGTAATCTTATGAATACATAAACGCAGATACGAAAGAACGTAAACGTGTCCAGTCTGAAAAATATTTCTTATATTCTATTATCCCATAGCAGCTCAAAGGCTCAATGTGTCGCCTTAAATTTAAACTCCGTTACTTACAATTTCTTAGCTTTTCAACAGTAATTATTGGCTCTTTATATGTACGCAAGATTTATATTAGCTATAATAATCCATAAAATATGTATATCAATACCTTCATATATTTGTTATTTGCTTAGATTTCTATATATTTTCAAAATGATTCAAATGAAAAATCTAATATTTTCTTTTGCATGAATTGAGCAAACAATTTTGAGTCTTCTGCAAATTTTGAATTTAACGAGTTTTGCCATCACAGATATCTAGATGTATTCTCAAATCACAAGTTAACATCAAGAATATTGTTGCCTTAATTGGATGTTTTCATAATTGAGTTTGAGAGATCTTGATAAAGTTATGCCGATTTAGTCAATGAAACTTTCATGAATTACAAGTACACCAAGTCTTGTCCAAATGGTCTCTTGGTGAAGCCCTATTTCCTAAATTTTTCACTTTAAATTGGCGATTTTTGGGCAAGAAGCATTTCGAATTTTTTTTTATGTACCACACTACAATTATTTTTGATAGTAAAATCTACTGCAAAAGTTTGTGCTCTCAATAGGCCCTTATTCTCGTTAGGGCAAAAATATTTTTTTAAATGCTTGTTTGATTGAATGATTAAACAAATTATTATAACACATGTATTTTCAAACATTAGTGGCCAAGTGGTTGAAATGATTTTCACAGTATGCGTTAACAATTAACAGTTCGCCAAGGTCGAGTTAGCAATGAAACATAATTTTTCACAATATTACTAACGATTTTTTATACTAGACAAATAAAAAATGTTAGCTTTGAGAAACTGAATGTGGATTTCTGCAGACAGAGGAGAAACATTTAGTATAATCCATATGCTTACCGAAATTCCGGTCCCATTTTTCTCGATGCAGCGTGCGCCTCGTTGCATATGATGCACAACAAAGTCACGCAGTAAAAAGCAATAAGAAACAGGCCCGCTTCTTTAAAAGATAATCCGTGATCGAGGATTTCTGTCAAACATCCATAGGTCGCTACTATAGTCGTGAGCAGTACCAGCAAGCAGTACAGAGCATACATGCCACTGTAAGCCGTGCCTGAGGTTCATAAATAACATGAATGGCAGAAAAATGTTAGAAACACGATTACTTTACTGGCTACTAACCGAGCTGTTGCATCATGTGAGACAAGTCCACCCAAAGCTCCCGATAGTCAGCTAACTTTTTAGCTGAACCTTTCGTTTGTAGAGCTTCCTGTAACTTTTCAGCTATCCATCCTGCTACGCGCCCTTTGGCAGTACAGTTGATATACCACAGCGTGCAAAGACAGTTCAGCATCGCTAAGATGTGATAATATCCGAAAGTGTGCCACAAAAGCATGTCCGGCTGCAAGTAGTACTGTGCAAGCATGATCAAAATGCCCACCAACCAGGACAACACGCATAATGAATATGTTGTGAGAGTGAGACGGTGGAATTTTATAACGGTTCCAGTCATCTTGAAGTATTTCAGCTACAAACAAACTCTCCTTGCTTAAAGTTTGGAAAATAATCCGGCTGTCCACCTGAAATTTGGTCCACATATTCTTAAATCGAGCCACCTCCTGCCCATTCCGCCATGCGCCCAGAGGCAGCAAGAAGTGAGGAATCAGGATACTCAGGAAAATTACTCCATAAATGTACTCATCAAACCGCTTTCCTGGCTTGAGGATCAACACCAGTCGCTCCTTGAATACAATGCTGACAAAAATCGTTTCCACTGTATACACGAAATAAGCCCAACAAGTGTTTGCTGAGAACCATCTAGAAGCCATAAACTTACAGGAAAGCTTCTAGGAATGCCCAAACTAACCTGAATATCGTTTTCCCTCTCAGGCGTTCAATGGGCATAACACCCATAATCTGAAAAAGAATCAACAAGCTTTTGGTAGTTTGGTAAAAGTTGTCGTAAGTGTGAAGTTTTTCAAGAAGCTCATTATCTGGAACGTGTTCAGGCCTGACAGTTTCCGGAGTTACAATTCTGATGTTGTCGCTTTTTCTTCTGGAAACATCTGGTCCCTCAGGCGGATAAGGGCTCAGAAACTGACCATCCATTTGAGCAGCCATTGGAGGTTTGGACATGTTGTTTGAAACAGGCTAGAGAGGAAGCATGATGGATGAGGACCAATTTTTTTTGCTTAATTAGTGGTGTGCTTTTATTTATAATAGTTTCCTATGAAAACAGTAGGCAATGTTTACGTTAAATGGAGTATTTAAGACTTCTATTGTCTAGAAACATGTTGTTATCACCACTGAAGCGAAAGTCGATTTTTGGTTTTTTGTTGCACTATAACATGCAAAGCCCTATGGGTTAAATACCATAAGCAAAAATGTGGTTTTAATGTTCTAGCAAGAAGTCGGTCCAATTATTACTAGCTAGTAAAACAACCATCTGAAGATTAGCAGTCAATTTTTAACTGTTTTTGGACATGATTTGTTTGGTGCTGTTGGGGGCGGGGCTTGTGTTTATTCATTGACGAGCAGGTATTTCTTTCTGGGAGTTTTCTCCTGATGTTTTATTGGTTTTTTGTTACTTCTTGTGGTTTGTAGCGGTCCTGTTCGTGTAATTGTTGAAAGCGCTTGGCCAAATTTTTCAGTCAAAAGTATATTTTCCGCTGCTCGGGTTACAAACACATCACCACATAAGATAGCTTTATTTAATTTTATTCAGTGCGTACGCATCTGCTTCCTCTTTTTAGAAGGGAAATGTATTCAAAAAATTTATATAAATACTGAACCCCAAAAATGGGGCAGAAATATAAGAGTCAGAAAAGTAGCATGCATTTCCGCTATAATCTCTAGCTCAAAAAATGACCTCTGGATAACGAATTAGACAAATAAATAACTGCAAACCCAATGATCGTCCATTAAATGTAAAAAACTTGTTTATTTATGTCTACCATTTGCATAAACAACTTATTGCGAATAATAATCAATTGCCAGCCGTTTCCTACTGCGATCGATCTGCAAGACGTTCCCGATACATCCCGAAGATAAGCTGACATATCACGTTTACATCTACATTTCATCTTTCACATTAAAATCTCCTTATACGATATACAAACCTGCGGTGCATGGACTTACCTCTTCGTGGCAGCTTTTCTTCTTTAATAATAAGATTAATTAAAACAACTCGTCTATTTATTACCAATGATCAATCTTGATCAGCCACTGCATTTAGCAGAAGGAAAACACTGCATCGGCATAAGTCTTCATTTTCTTTAACGGCAACTTTCTTAGAAACTCTTTTAGAGCGCTTAATCAATCGGTGTGCTTCATGAATACGCAAGAATATACCCACTCATAGACCGGCAGTGGCGCGACCGAATGAACATGAAACTCATCTGCACTTTGAAACATTGAAGGAAAATTGCCGCATATGTTGAATTTTTTTAACGAACGGCAATGTCTAGTGCCAGCCGAGAAATGCAGATTAATTATTTCAAAACTTTTAATGGTTCCATCGATCAATCATCTTTACAGTTAGTCAATACCGAGTACGCCCTTAGTGATATTAATAAGGTATGAAACTCATTTGGTAATAAGCCATTCCTTTTTTCGGCGAGTTTATTATATGGTGCCTAATTGCTCTTTGAACTAACTATTCACGCCTGTTGCTTTCGACGTTTAGTTTTCCGATTAATTATTGCGGCATCCTGGTATTGATTGAGGTAAACGGTTGATATTCATGATGATTAAAAATTAATAGACCTGATGCATAAAAACAAGCTGGTTGAAGTGAACTGGGCTTCCATTAGTAAGGAAAAGAAGCTGTCTTTAAATATGGTTTAATTAAATTCGTTGAAAGCACCGGGGCTTAGATCTTCAGATCGTTAAAGCATTCAGAAAAATAGGTACATTTTGCAATGATGCCATCAATAAATGTAAGAAAATTCAATAGAAAAAAGCACTAATTTCTAAAATAATTGATTGCCTTTCATTGCAAGGGGAGGTCGGATTTTTAAAATATCAAGCTGAGATTTTGCATGCAAATCGATGTTCGTTTTCTCCCAAGCCAATTTAAAACTATCGCCCATTGGACAAAACCATATTTCTCGGAGATGGCAACTTCAGAAGGTATTTTTCGGTAAAAACATATTTAAGTCTGGCGGCGCTTTATGCAGGGTGATTCAGGAGCAAATAAAACCTGTTAATGTCATAATATGTAGGAAGTTAAAATAAGCAAAATACGGTCATATGTTAAAGTACAATTTTTATTTGTTTTAGAGATACTTACATTTATTTCCACTTAAAAATTAGCCAAAAAACTTATTGCGAAACCATCAAAATCAAACAAATATTTACGAAAACATCACACTTATTTTCGTGTTTAAAATTGATCTGATAGCGTGCTTTTGCTTAAAGCAGAAGATGATTAAAGAGCACTGCACCCCTAGCAGCTGGTTTCGTAACTCTAAGTCGCAAAATGTTTAGTTACAAAAATGTCGAAGTCTTGAATGATTTCGAATTGATATGCAACACATTTTTTAAAATGCGCGGAATACCCTCGATTGAAAATTATTCGTTAGTACAAAAAGTGCGATTTTGTGTTATCTATTGTTCCCTAAAGGTATATTAAAACACGGTTGAATGTATCTAGAATTTTTTTACATGGCCTCTAAACGATGTTAGTAGTTTTAGGGCTTTCCACTAGGGCTCGAAATCAAACTCGAATAATTCGAGTATTCGAGTATTCGAATATTCAAAAAGCGAATAATTATGTGTAGTCATAACTCGAATATTCGAATACTCGAATACTCGAATACATCAACATTATCAAACTCACAAGGTGCAAATATCTTTATATGCACTTTGTATACTTTTATAAAATAAATGATCCATATTCTACAAGCATTTAAACAAATACACATATATTCGAATATTCGAATATTAGAATATTCGAATACTCGATTATTCGAATATTCGAGTATTCGAGTAATTTTACTATTCGAATAAATCACTAAACGAATATTCGAATTTCAGATTTTTAAAAATTCCGAGCACTACTTTCCACTATTAAGAGCCTTGAAAACATACTTTTATAGTCGTAACGATCTTTTCAATAAAGCGTCTCAAAAATTTGTACGCAACGTCGAAGTGTAGAAGTTACACTGTCAGAAGCTTTTGTAATGGACAATTTAACTTCAATGTTTTTTTAATCGAGCACCTGAAAAGCTTTATTTCATGATTGAGTTTTCTCAGACTTTCTCAACCTCTGAGCGGTTAGAAGCAAAACTAAGCAAATTTACTTGTCTAGTTATTTTAAAAATCGGCATATTTGACGCTATAAAACATTCCACAGGAAGTTGGAACTGCTTTATAAGTTCTAAAACTTCATAATAATTTTTCAAAAAGTTAACTAAAAGCACAGAAAAATCGAAATTGGAAAAGCGGTGGTCAAAAGAAAACTTATTTAAATTTAACTCTTTAGTAACTTTGTTCAAAAGGGAAATTCGTTTTAGTTCAGTGGAATCGACATGAATATATTAAAAATCCAATTAGAAAAGTCAACTTTAATTGATCACTCACGTGAAAAGACGGTTCATATAGAATTACGTGTACTGCCGAAGTGGGTGGATGAAGATTTACAAGACAGTATTGATTGGAAAACATAATGTTAACAATAATCTTATCTGTTTTATAGGACTACGACCGTCGTCGCATTGATCAACATGTGTGTGGCCGAAAATGCATCAGATACTGCCCAGAAAAAGGAGAAACGAGTGAGAAAATATCCTACCAAGGTAAATTGCATTAACATCACTTTTTACAAGGGACAAACATTTTTTCTTTCGCAACTTTCGAGCCAGTTGTTTTATTGCTTTCATATCAATATTGTCTTGGAAAGATGCACTTTCACAAATGCACTTTTTCGGTTCACAAAAATTATCATAAAACAAATATAACGTTTCTCGCTTTAATCGGATTAGATTGAGGAAATTTCCTGGTCGGCAACCTTTCCCAGAGATTAGTACGTCAGATTCTTTTAAATATACAAGGCACTTAATCTTGGCATAAAGATAAGAAGCACGCGTCAGTGTGGATTCTTCTGATGAGCGGTTTTATTGCCAGAAACTATGAAAACGTTACAAGGTGAATAAGACAAGCTCTGACATGATTTGATCAATAATCAATTTATCTAAATATTAAGACAACAATTCAGTTATGTTCCTGAACTGAAACATTGGAACGAGCCTCTTTCTTTCATTCAAAATTCCAATATTGTCATATACATTGTATATGGATAAGCTTTTTGAAAATTGTCAGTTTTGAGCGACTAAAAATTTTTGATATATGTTTCTTCTACTCTACTACTACAGTAAACTTTATTAACCCTGCATAAATATACTCTTTTTATTCCAAATCTGTGTTCAGAAGCAATCATCTCTTATGACCTATGTTGTAGCATCAGAAAATTTTGTTAATTAACAACTATCAACTCTCCTCAACCAGCTGCATTTCAGAACCTCTTGAATAGCATGTACAAACCTCTTCCATATGTATTTAAAATGTCACTATAAATTTATAGAAAAACGTTTTTAAATATTCAATTTTCATTAAAGTAATATTCCACATATGTGTACAAATAGGCTTCTGCTAGGTAATTAGGAAATCCTGCTAGAATGCAATCAGAGAAACTGATTTGCCTCACAACAAAGAATGTGTAGTTTAACTGCTAGTAAAATATTAAGTGCAATGATAATGCCCAACATTAATTACCCAGTACTCGATTAAATTACCGTGCAAACTTAATAAATAAACAGTTTAATCTGTGATCATAATTTAAGACAGATGCACACGGCTCGGTAAAGGAAGAAAGTGTGGATTTTATTTACGTTAGAAGTACCTGTAAATCAACGCGGGTAATTAACAACCGATCGAATTAATGGCCGTATAAATCACGTTTCGTAACTTTGGACTTCCGTTGTATCGACTAATTCAAGTAAATAAGTTGCAAATCGATACTACCTTTAATAATAATCTCAGTGTATTTTCTGTTGTTGGCAGTGAGATTTATTGACTTCCAGCACTTAGTTTGTGTGGTTTATTTAATTTATTTTATTACAACCGTCATTAATTTTCTCCCCTTTTATACACATTACCATCGACAAGGCCCACACTTCTACTAGACACGTGAATAGTCATAAAACTGGCCTCACCCATACCAAACTCGAAGTGCCCTGTTTATAAACCCATTAACAAACAATAATAAATGTATTATTTATCGTGTAATCCGGCGATTTAACACGATTAAACAATGAAGTTTGGGCTGCGAAGGTGTGCCCGATTGAGTTGCTTCTTCAATGCACTGCTGATATGGATCCTAAGACGGAATGAACACAATAAATCGGTCATAACAGCATCGTGGAGGTGGATTAAATTTAATCATTATTTTATCTACATAAGACCAAATGAATTGTGTCAACAAAAATTAATTGGAAAGGTAAACACTAAAATGTGAAAAAAAATGAAACATAACTGAATGAAGATGTTTTTGGACAGTATAATACACCTTCATTTATCCATTTAACGTATTGAACTTCTCAAACGTTTTGTTGTATAATTTTGCACAAATTTCAGATATTGCGTTTCTTCATAAAAGTGCAGAACCGACTTTACCAGTTCATCGAATTTGAATTCCTGGTGTTCTAAATTTCAGCTCGTTCCTGCTTATTTTTGTGTGGAGCAAAGCTCAAAGCGTCTGCTTCAATTTATTTTCTTTGCTGTTTTATTACGATTCGAAATTAAGTTGGTAGCAATGCCGGCATTACACGGATAGAGTAGTAATAATAATTCTGCTGTTATTGTTTCATTTTATAGCACTGATAATGCAATTTGGACTAGTTTTATGTGCGGTTTGGTGGGCGAACTGGAACGCTGGACTAATTCAAGGTGCTGGAAAACAGTAAATGTTGTTTAACTGTTGGAAGTATCGTTGATTAATGGCATTTTTATTGCCTGGATTAATTGGAAATTTCTGATTATTTCCTCAGATTTTCAGAAATTTTCACAACATTTCTAAGAAGTTTTGTTTTCGTAGTTCGTAGTAGGTAGTAGCAGGTTCAAAATGGAGCATTCTTGGATTATAAAAAGGTTTGAGTTAGTCAATCAATAGAAGGCATTTTTAATAATGGCTGAAAAGCAATAGAATGTTGAAGTTTTACTATTGAGAATTGAAATCTTAATATGTCGGCGTCAGCTATTTCAATTGCCTACGGTATGCAGATTTATTTCTACACCTTCGGAGCCTAGCAATTAATAGAGTAAAAACTATTCATGATATTATAGACATGGTCTAGAGTATTTGGAGTAATTTCAAGCTTATATTATATTGCCAACATGTTGTATAAATTGCAAAAAGCAGTAGCTGCTGTTAATTGAAGACTGATCATATAAAGTTTATTTGCACCGGTTTTCTATTTGCTTTCTAGTAATTAAAAAAGTACCCTTTTTTTTCGAGGTAGAAAAAAATAATGAAATTCAAATTTAGAATTATTTTCACATGATACAACAGATTATTATCTGTAAGAGAAGATTATTATCTGAGGCAGAAAATAGGACTGTTACGTCATTAATATCTACTAAATTCAGCAAGAATCCCTCAGGCTTGTAAGTTTCGATTCGAGCCATCATCAGGATTTTGCGTAAAAATCTTAATTTAAATTAGAAGATTTAAGCGAGTTTGAAATTGGAATCATTTTAAGAGTCAATTGCCACACCAATCGAACACTGACCGCAACGTCTTTATTCCGCATTTGTTGATTGTAAATTTATAGTATGTCCGGAAGTTGCTAACGATATTTTATGCTGCAAATTATTGCGAAAACCATTTCTGCTAATGAAGCCGCAAAATGTATAGAAATTCATAATAACTGCTGATAATAAAACTAGAATAGATTTAACTCCCGTCCTGCGGATTAAATCCTTGTAGTTTTATAACTATATACACGCGGTTTCAAGCGTTGTCCATTGACAATTTATATAACCTGTTCCAGTTGTTAGCATAACTGCTATCACAAAACGACCAGCCTGTTCAGTATTTTTCAATAAAAAAATTACATTTACTGTACGTGCTGGATGAATGAAAACAAAGCGATTAAAACCGTCTATATATATTGGTCCGCTATCAGATTGCCGAAATAATGTCTGAAAGCCATTTAATTTGCAAACATCTAACACTATACAATTCAACGATAAATTAGGCAAAAATTGGGGGTCTTTAACCGCAAGGCCATCGACCAGCTATTTGTACCAGCACTTAATTGTTCGAAACAAAAATCTGGTGTCAAGGTCTGATAAAGTTGCCGTTTTCTATTAATAGCAAACCGAAAATCTTATTATCACAGGATATTTAAAATGTCATCAACAGTGAATTTTGCTTGAACAAACAAATTCTATTATGCGTTAGCAAATTTTATCCTCGCTTAATGAACATGACACAAAAATGTGTAAAATCATTTATCTTAATGCAGCATTGCATCAATGAAAGAGGCCAACTAAAGGGGCATATGCATGCTGAAATTACCAAACAATTCTCATACTCGATGATGCAACTCATTGTCGAATTACCGGAGTCAACTGCGCGGAAAATTAGGAATTTATCCGCGTTTGAATTGCGATCGGACGTGTGTCGGTCTGGGCAATGTCCGTTCTGCCATCGGAAAATTGAGGCATGCGAGAGCTTTTTTTGATCAAATTTGCATATTAGATTGAGATTTGTCCAGCAAGTTCAAGCGCCGAATTTTGGAAATTATTAATTKATGGAATTAAATCCAAATACGGTGAAACCTTACGAATCTGGGCAAAGAAACGGKGTGAAAACAATATCAAAACAGTATAAATACATYGAAATCCCATAGAAAAACAATASGTGAAGCCSCTMTRCGGATTCTAAGCAGATATTTAAAAAAATAAACAGCCAGCAAAATCCCTACGTAATCGACCGGGAAGTCACATTATGTTTATAGACAAACAATAAATAAAAATGGCAAAGAAACACAAGCCACGTTAAGGCAAACGTGACGGAAAAAGAACAATTGCTGGGACAAACGTGTAACATTACTCAACAGTAGCACTTATGTAGAAGTCAAAGTGCAGAAAGCTGCAAAATACTAGAATAAATCGATAAATAATAAAGATGTTTGTGAAAAACAGAGAGATATCCGGAACGCTCTATGCGAGCAGAATATATTGAAAACGATTGCAAATCGAAGGAAACAGAAACTCCAGGCAGGCCATCATCAAGCAGTAACCATATATTTTCGTTAACCCAACTGATAAAAAATAAAGCCCTGGGTCAAGAACTACATCTGTTATTTGCTGATCTCCAAAAGTCTTAGGAACCGGAGGCTTATTCAACATCTAAGAAACCTCTGAGGGTTAATGGAGACAACCAATATTAATAAAAGCGGATTAAACTCTAGTCAGAGATGCAAACATAAAAACCGAAAGTGAAACAGAAACTAATGGGTTTTTCGGGATTTTAGGCCGTCGTTCGGTAGTAGTAAGTAATTCTACCGAACGACGGCCTAAAAGCCCGAAAAACCCGGTAGTTTCAAAGAATGGCCTCGAAAGTCTATATTTTTTGATAAAAGTGAAACAATTATTTAATTAACACTCAAACATGGCTGTTCTCTTTCTGTGACATTATTAAAACTTGACGAAGAAGAAAATACAGAAACGTGGATTTCGCATTGAACACTCCATTGTACACACAGTGCTTGCCGCACGATCAAGTACTTATTGCACAAAACTATAAAGTCCTGGACTATATAATTTGAAAGTGAATCAAACGAAACGAAAAATGAGAAATGGAGTTGAACATCAATCAGTAAAACAGAATATATATGAATCGGAAGGAATATATCTGAATCGCAAACGAACTGCGAGACTTAGCACTAAGAGTAATGAAGAATTGCAATACATGCAAGAGACTAGCCACATAAAAGTCTAGTATATCAAAGGGACTGCATATACGATCTCTTGGTAAAATGCTTAATAACTTACGGCGCAGCGGAAGGAATCAAGAAAAGCACAGAAAATTGATGTATGGCAGCAGATGGTTCAAGAATGGAAAGAGTCACCAACACCAGAGAGTGGAGCATTGAGGACGATTTCTGCTGCGAAAAGATGAAGAAAGCCAAGAATAAGTTGCGATAGTCGAGAGACTCAGCACTGAGGGTTTCGGATATATTTGTGAAAAAACAAAGCAGAATGAAGATCGGGCTTCAAAAGACGCAGATAATAGTAAAATTAAATCATTTTGTTGAGGCATAACGTTATTATTCCTTAATTCATTCTTTCATTCTGCCTATCTACTGTTGTGCTACTCTTATGACCTGAGCAAATATTACATTACATTATAGGGTGATTCTAAGCGTTCTTTACTCCAAACTAGAAATTTGGGATCAGTTCAACTGATTTCAAAGAGATGTTGTCAGGGTCTAATTTCAATTAAAATTCCAGCTATCCAATAAATTGCCACATAGTTAATCCGAACAAATTTCAGTTAGATCCGCCTATTAAAACGACGAAATTCGAGGAAAGCATAATGTGAGGTCTGGTCTAGAGCTAATCTGTTTTGGACTCATCATGGTTAATATGATTTATATTTTTTTATTGTTATGACCATGTTAAATAATCCTCTGGTTATGCGATACTGTTTTCGGTTGTGGTATTGTCGGTAATTAATTGCCTTCAATTAAACGAACGTTGGCTCGCTTATGAGTCGTTTTATGAAAAGTGTAATACTATATCGCTTTGGCCGTCTGATGGTTTCTACATTTGATACTTAATGAATATGGAAAATGGCCATTAAGCCACAGCAAAATTATATTTCTTAACTGCAATAGCTGCAATTATAGGCAACTTAAAATAGAAAATCAATGGACTGAAGTCAATTATACATAAGAGAAATTAATCGCTCGATAAAGATCAATTCGGAAAAAATAGTCGAATGTCATTTGATAAAAGCCGGAATTTTATCGGGTTGTAATAAAACGAAATTTGGAAAATATTAGGAAATTGGAAGTCATCTTTTGCCCATTCATGTTTACCTTTCACTTAGACTAACAGGGGAGGGGGACCAATTAACTGGGATTTTCTTTTCGTCTCTAATTCGAATTGTTTTCTCAGTGAATGCGAAAACACCATCCTATTAAAAAATTAATACGATATATTGTTGGAAGTTAATCGAATTCGATTCAATCCATTGGTTTCCTTATCGAATATTGCGAATGATCTAAGGCGATTTTTATCTTGGTAATCGATATCTTAGATAAAGTAAAGACCTGATCTACTGCAAATAAGAGCGGATCTAGAGGGGCGGTCTTGGGGGTCATGACTCCCCCTTGCGGTTGGTTTATGTCGACTAATGATAATTTAATTTAATAGAGAATCAGACTGACTTTCTACTACATGCTCAATGTATGATTTTCAATTTTCGCTTTCTGGATTCGTTAAATTGAATCCTATATATCGAATTTTCGCCTTAAGTCGACTGTGAAAGTTTAGTTTGTAATGCCAAAACACGTTATGTCGCTCAAATGGGGCCTGCGAAACTTCCAAAAAAGCAGCGTCATGTTTGAGTCGATTTTGCAACTCAAAAAACAGGCAAATATAAAACTTCTTGAAATCAAGACTTTTTTTAGAAAACTGCCAACATTTCCTTATCGATGGATCACTTTCTGAAAAGACCATTTAGTTCTCTTTGGAATGATGTAAAAATGAGCGTTCTTGCTCACTTGGCTTCCGAGAAATGAGCAAAAACGGGGCGAAAAACATTAGATTTTGGCATAATATTGCACCTAAGTGTCTGATATTCAAATTTCACCCTCTGAGTCAAAAGTACCCGAATTTCCTCACTCAAGTTGTTATGACTGGATTGAGTTTTCAACTGTCTTACCAACGATGCCGAAACGAATTCTGTGGCTTAAATGGGGCTTGAGAAACTTTGAAAAAACAGTGTCATGATTGGGTCGATTTTGCAACTCAAAAGATAACACAAATCTAAAACTTATCGAAATTAAGACTTTTTTGAGAAAACTGCCTACATTTCCTTATCGATGGTTCATTTTGTAAAAAGACGATTTATTTCTCTCTGGAATGATGTAAAAATGAGCGTTTTTGCTCATTTTGATTCCGAGAAATTAGGAAAAAACGGGCCGGAAAACATGAAATTTTGCCATAATCTTGCACCTAAGTGCCTGATATTCACATTTCGCTTTGTGGGTGAAAACTACTTGAATTTCCTCACTCGTGTTGTTATAATTGAATCGAATTTTCAATTCTCTATCCAACGATGCCAAAACGAATTCTGTGGCTCCAATGGGGCTTGAGTAACTTCGAAAAAAGCACCGTCATGTTTGAGTCGATTTACAACTCAAAAATAAACCCGCAGCTCTAAACGTTCATAAAATCAAGACCTTTTGAGAAAACTGCCAATATTTCTTTGTCGGTGGTTCACTTTCTAAAAAGGTCATTTAGTTCTATCTGGAATTATGTAAAAATTAACGTTCGTGCTCATTTTGCTTCCGAGAAATTAGCAAAAGCGGGACGGCAAGACATGAAATTTTGGCAAAATCTTGCACCTAAATGTCTGATCTTCAAATTTCGCTTTCTGGGTCAAAACCCCCGAATCTCCTGACTCATGTTGTTATGACTGAATCGAATTTTCAAGTCTCTATCCAACGATGCTAAAACAAATTATGTGGCTCAAATGGTTCTTAAGAAACTTCGAAAAAAGCACCGTCATGTTGGAGTCGATTTTGTACTTCAAAAATAAACACGCAGCTCAAAACTTCTTGAAATCAACACTTTTTTTAAAACTGCCAATATTTCCTTGTCGACGGTTCACTTTCTAAAAAGGCCATTTAATTCTCTCTGGAATGATGTAAAAATGATCGTTCTGGCTCCTTTTGCTTCCGAGAAACGAGCAAAAACGGGGCGAAAAACATTAGATTTTGGCATAATAAAACACCTAAGTGTCTGATATTCAAATTTTGCCCTCTGAGTCAAAAGTACCCGAATTTCCTCACTAAAGTTATTATGACTAAATCGAATTTTCAATTATCTATCCAACGATGCGAAAACGAATTATGTGACTCAAATGGTTCTAAAGAAACTTCGAAAAAAGCACCGTCATGTTTGAGTCGATTTTGTACTTCAAAAATAAACACGCTGCTCAAAACTGCTTGAAATCAAGACTTTTTTGAAAAAACTGCTAAAATTTCCTTACCGATGGTTCACTTTCTGAAAGGACCATTTAGTTCTCTTTGGAATGATGTAAAAATGAGCGTTCTTGCTCATTTTGCTTCCGAGAAATGAGCAAAAACGGGACGACAAACATGAAATTTTGGCATAATCTTGCACCTAAGTGTCTGATACATACTCAAATGTTGACCCCCTATTTGACGTCGAATTCTACTGGTGAAACATATCCCGTGTTTGTCGCTTAATTTTTACGATGTGAAACTTTTATTAGTTGACTAATGAAATTGACTCAGTAAATAGTTCTAAATTTGCACCTTAAACGTAGGTAAGGACTTTATAGACGTGATAAACTTCGAAAAAAGCAGCGTCATGATTTTGCAATAAAAAAAACACGTAAATCGAAAACTTCTTTAAATCARTACTTTTTTGAGAAMACAACCAACATKTCCTTATCGATGGTTCACTTTCTAAAAGGGCCATTTAGTTCTCTCTGGAATGATGTGAAAATGAAAGTTCTTTCTCCTTTTTCTTGCCATAAATGAGCAAAAACGGCTAAGGAGGCGAATTTTATTCAATTTTCTTGAAAATATTTCCAATTTTTTAACAAATAACAAAAACAATGCATGGCATTCTAAAAGCACGTGGCATTAATAGCTCTTCTATTTTATTTCAACACATGTTGCGTGGCTTTGTTTAGCGACTATCTACGCGTAGAATTCTCAGAGCACAAATTCTTGAGTGTTAAAGTCCAATATTACCCAGTGGAACTTAAATGTTTAATTACTAGAACCGCAATGTTGCAGCACGCTTTAATGTCTCCTAATAATAGTACAAAGATCCCATAAATTGACAGTCAATCATTGGCTGAGGAAACTGAGTATTGAACGTCATGCAAAGGTTCAATGCAACAAAAAAGAAAACGCCGCACCGATATTATGTCGGATAATACAGTTTATGCTGAACTCGTTAAGCATAAATAATGGATCCTTTGTGCAATGAATTGTTATTGCTCGATGGTTGTTGCAGTTGTCTTCTATTCATCAAACTTGAAACGTGAGCGGAGTACATCGTTTTTCTGATGTTTCAGTTTTTTGAAAAAGCACTTCGCTGTCCCGTTCCTGACCCATTCAAAGCTCCATCCTTCGTTAACGCGACCGGATATTAAACAATGTTTAGCACCGAAAAAAGCGCACAGAATGATAAACAGCAAAAGCCACTCAATTAAGCGAGCGCAACAACTTAAATAAACAACTAAATAATAATCGAACGTGACATTTAAAAATTACGTCCACGCAGAATGCTCGTTATGTGCCCAATTTATATGGAAAACCAATAATTAACGGCTCTTACTCTATAAATCTTGACCGCACGACGAACCCAACCAATGCATCTTCAAGTTTGATGAATAATCCCGAGGTGGGGTTTACACGAACCACAATCTCAATAGGGTGGATGAAAGACAATTAGAGGTTTTAATTGAGCAACTGTTCAACGACTGTATGCTTTTTTCAGGTTTTCGATCTCTACCAGAACCAAATTGAGAAAAAGCCAAAGTTGATCGGGGAGTGGTCATCGTGGAGTCCATGGAGCTCTTGCTCGCGAACATGTGGAGGAGGTGTTGCCCAACAAACGAGGCACTGTATCAACAGACCGGCAGACTCAAGGTAATTGCTTTTTTAAACAAATTTACAATCAGGCGACCACACATGCAAGGGCATGTCTCTTGGTGAAAACCGACACATACTGGGTGTCCCATAATCAATTATATGAACCCAAACAACAGATTCCTGGGGCAAACAAACTAAGATTTAACCTATAACCAAAGAGGGATGGTAATCGAGTACAAGGTGTCAAAGTGCAAATAAAATATTCGTTTTTTTAGATGGGGCAATCCGAATTTCCTATTTCATAGATTGCAGTTCCTCCTTCTAATAGTCTGGAGCCATTTAAAACATCCACATTCTTTTGGGTTTCAAACATCGCTCTGCTGTTGACAACACCTCGTTCTTCGATATTTGCTAAAAAAAATGTTCACTTGCTTCAAGTCGATATCTCTCTCCGTTTTCGAGATATCGAGATATTTCACATTGAAACTTCTAGGGTTTGTTTGAACTATTTACCTCAAATTGGATCTCTAAATAAGAGAAGTATTTTTCTGCAAATTTCAAGAAAACAAAACAACAAAATTTTAAACAGTATTTATTTATAGATAAGTTCTATATTGTTGAGGCGGATTCATTTTTTACAAACTTCTTTTTTATATTGATTATAAATATTAAATTAATTATTATTGCGTTATATTGATGACGTATTCTCCATTTACAGTCATGGCGAACAAAAACTTGATNAATTTTTATCTTATCTGAATAATAAAGAACCAACAATTAAATTCACTATTGAAAAAGAACAAAATCACCAAATTCCTTTTCTCGATATACTAATTCAGAAAAATTTAAACAATTTCGAAACCTTGGTCTATAAAGGAAAACCTACTCATACTAACCGATATTTGAATTTCGACTCAAATCACCCGATAATGGTTAAAAAAGGTATCGTAAAAAGTCTATATGATAGAGTAAAAATAATTTGTAATCAA